ATAGATCCCTTATATTGGATATATTATATATTATATGGATATATTATATTATATATATATACACAAACACACACACACACACACACACATATAAATATACATGTATATACTGTATGTATATATACACACACACATACTGACCAAACGATATTTACAACCCCCTAACCCTAAACCTACCCCTTACAGAAAACCTGTCTGCATTATTACACTTTCAGATAAACATCATTTACTATTTTTAATCATTTTTTTCCCCTCGTGGGAATGTCAACAATTTCAGGTTTAACTATTCTTGTGGGGACATTTGGTCCCTACAATGTAGCATAAACAAGTACATTTATTTAATTTGAGCTTTATTTAAATGACAGAAAATACATTTTTAATAGTTTTATTTTTAGTTAACAATAACAACACTGGCTAGGTTTGCTTCTTCTCAAGGTTTTTCTCTCCTCTTCAACATTTTATTTTTTCTTTTGCCCATTTTTTTCCAATTAAGGGCTGAATTTCAGTAAAGCCACTTTAAAACTATTGTGAAAAGCAGTATACAGACATTAAACCTGACTTGAACTGACTTATTAGACTTGTACATAATTATGTAACTTAATAATGTAATTATGTAACGTAATGTTATGTTAACGTAATTGTGTAACTTATAATAACAATAATAACAAAAACAACAATAATAATAATTAATATTATTATAATTAATATGCATTATAATTATTTTAAGAATGTCTCAGGTGTGACAACAACATTAATATCTTATTCTGGTAAAATATGCTACTGAGCCTTAGAAATCTGTGATGGCAGCTCCTGTGGATAGAATATTTCATAAAGTACTCGAAATCCTTGTTGACACATCACAACATGTCAAAATGAACTGCTAAACTAGTGAGTTGATGTTCAGAGTGAGTACTGTGAGTGGTCTGCAGTTTATTTTGATCTATATGAAAGTGAACAGGCAGGGCTGGACAGCAAGCTGAGTCACTGGAGTTCAGCCGTAGACTCGCCCTGCGGCAATCACTGCGTTAAGAGCCACAATCTACTGTACAGAAATGGACAACATTTTTCTAGACATCTTAGACGTCATCACTGTGGTAGTAACCAGCTTTTTTCCTGAGAAGTGCGTAATATCTTGTACAATGCACTATAATTCATCTTTAGGCTGAAAATGCTAAAATATTGAGACCTTCATGCCAACTGGACAGTTTTCCAACAATATCGCCTGATTTGAGAACAAATAATGCATAAGCTCAGCTGAATTCCTGCCACAGCCTAATATGCGATCATCAAGCTTAAATGAAATTACAGTAATCGGATACTCTCCAGAATTCATATATTCTTCTCACGCAGGCACATTTCTAACAGGGATTACTGATTAATGTCACTATGAGACCATAACACACCTGATGAACTGTGAGTACTGTAGTAAACAGCGAATCTTTCATCAGCGTCTGAAACACGTGAGATAGATAGCAGAAGGCTTGTCTTTTGGATCCTCGGAGCGAGATGTAAATTTCATGCTTTTGCGTTCTCATGATTTCGCCAATATTGCTGGGCCGGTGCCTCAGCTGTCTTTGTCTTCGTGCCTGCACAGCATGGAGGATTCAGAATCCTGCATCGCACGCTTGTCACTCACTTCTTTGAGTCCTAAATAACAACAGACTCATGCAGAGCTATTATGAGCAATTATGTGTAACCCAAAGCTAAGCCAGGAGCTACTTGGGAAGCTGCTCCTCATCTGCAGGGTTAATCTCTGCACTTCTGGATGATGCCAAACAGAGTAGGAGTGAAGACGCAGACCTTTTCAGTCTCCATGCACTCACGTTTTCTTTATGCTTCATCTCTGTGCTGCAGGCAGGAAAGAGTATTTTTCCCCCCTTAATAAACTCCTAATTTGCTGCTTATTCATAATAAGGTTATAGTAGTTGTGTTTTGGGGTCAAGGGATCTAGAATATGATCATGTAGAATAAGGCATTAATACATGCCTGATAAGTACTAATAAACAGCCTATATGCTAGTATGCATGCTAATAAGCAACTAGTTAATAGTGAATAATTTTCCCTAATCTAAAGTGCTACTGGAAATATTATTTCCAGCAGCACAAAGATGAAGCATCAAGAAAGAGTGTTAATTGCACATGCAAAATTCAGTGCCATTACAGGGTGGTGTCAGGGTATATGGTTTGCTAGGATGTTTGGATGGTTTATTATGTATATGGCCCAAGTGGGAACTCAAAAAGTTTCCCTTTCTCAACAAAGGCATGCAATTTGAGTTATCATTCATGAAGCACAAACGGTACGCAAAAGCAAAAGCTAAAAATGTTAGTGAGGTACTTTAGTAAGAAACTCTTAGTTAACAGTGAACGTGTGTTCCCTAATCTAAAGTGTTACTGTACATTTTTTGTAATTGAAATATGGATTTATATAGTAATTATTATGGCTTTTAATAATATAAGATAATAATTAACATTAAAAAAACAACTCAATAAAAGATGATTTTCATTCTAAGCAACAGCGGGATCCAGTTGTCTGAGAAAATCTATCTTTCAAAATCTATTTTCAGCCTGGAATTTAACAGAAGGTTTTAGGATTTAAAAAAGAAACAAAGAAATGTTATTATACAAAGTGAATTGTTGAGGAGAGGTTTGCTTTAACTTTTAAAAGTAATTGGATTAACAATTTTTGACTTCTGACGGAAAGCAAAACAGGCCAATAAATAAAACTTGGGCCTTATATAGAGACCAGGATATAGAGATTTTTGAGCTGCATGGGTCTTTGACTTGGGCCAGTAAGTTTTGTTTACCTTTATACTATACTGACAATCACCTTAAGAACACTCTTTTACTGCAAAATTACATGAAATATCCTGTTAAATCTATTAGTTTTTCAGAGTAAGGGAACTTACTGTAAACCAATTAAAATTACAGTCATGGTTTTTTTAATAGAAAAACATGAATACTACATGAATGTGGGTTGGAAAAAGAGTAAATGGGTAAAATGCGCACACATACATCTCCTTTAACTGCAATGTGTTAATTCATATGAATATTGATGACATCCTTACCACTTCCCCAGTTAAACCTGCTACACATCACACATGCCAGACACCTCTTGATCTTGACAGCCAGTGTTACAAGAGAAACTCTATTAAGAGAAAGATGGCAGAAGAAGAGAGAGAGAGACATCTAGCATTAATGACTGCATATGAAAGCATTTCGGGTCACCATCTAATCACTTCTGAAACTGATTGGACCCTTCAAAGCACAGCAAGCGCTTTTGATTTGTGTCTGTGTTTGTTCCAAAAACCCACCCACTCCTTCATTAAACATCACTTCCCGAGTGAGGATTTGCTTCTTACATTTTCATTAAATGCAATATGGCCTGAGGACTCAGACACACTAATACCACACACATAAGAGCATCGAGACTGACTCTTCTGTCACAGTGAGAAGCTGGGAGTGAAAGTGTTTATCTGGGGCTTTGGGATTATCAATGAGCAAATTACCTCTGATCCAGCAGAGGGTCTCAGGCAGACTGTGCGCATCTGCCAGGGACTGAAGACTCCCTCTCTAGGGCTTAGGAAGGATGGGAGAAATGAGGGACAAATGACTGCACTTTATTTTGATGTAACGCATGTAGTCTATTCTTAACGGCTCATTATTGATACTTCTTTTTGATATGAGGCTCCTCCTCTTTTCCTTTGGAGTATCAGTGTGAGTGTGTTTTGTTTGAGAGTGGTGGCTCATGCTGAAAGAGGCAGAGAGCTCTCCTCCCAGGAGGATTCGTCTCACTACCAGCCCTTAATTGCTCTGCCCAGGTGACTTTTCCTGCAGCTGCACCCATGATTCTCCAGAACTGCCTGCTGCACAGATATGGACTGTATTACTTTTTGGCATTGCTGACACTTCTCATGTCACAAGGTAGGTGTGTGTACTTTATGTTTGTATTGATTTGTGTCAGTCACACTGAAGAAAACAAAATACAGATATATACTGATATATTGTAACATATAGTCTTAAGTTGCTGGGGTATATTTGTAGCAATAGCCAAAAATACATTGTATGGGTAAAAATTATAGAATGTTTTTATGCCAAAAAGGATATTAAGTAAAGATCATGTTCATTCAGATGATGTATACATCTCAATTTCGAAAAATTGACCCTTATGACTGGTTTTGTGGTCCAGGGTCACACACTCACACACACACACACACACACACAATATATATAAATATATATATATATATATCTCTTATAAACTACCATTTAGTCTTAAAACATTATTACAATAAAATATATTTACATTGAGAAACTTGTGTTAAATATTTACTTACAGATAATAGATCTTGAATTAACTTTATTGTTTTTATTTATTTATGTATTTTTTTTTACTTGCCCACGGATTTGTTAGACTTATGGTTTAAGACAATAGGAAAATATGTTTGGTAAGAAAAATAACCTTAATTCAAGATATATTCTTTGAAAGCAAGTCATAATATTTATGCAATTTTGCTTTTTTAAGTAAATGTATTCCGTCATCAGGATATTTAAATATTTTTCCTAGGAAACAAGGCAGAATTATTGATTTTCTTTTTCTATTTTGCAGTGTAGACTTTGAACAGTGTTTGTATTTTCTCTATGTAATAATTTATGCTCAAATTGTGTGTTTACAAAGTTTTTGTTATATAGGATTTGGATGCACTTGTTTTTGACAACAATCCACTAATGAACTCCATGCAACATTCATCACTGTATTACAAAAGTCTAACAAACACACTTTTTGTATTTGACAATCTGAGGTATAATTCTCCGTGCCAAATGTATCTGAGCCATATGACAGTAATGAATTCAAATATCTTTGTTGGCTTGCAGTGTTGCCTCCTAAAGCTCACTAGCCTCATTTAGATCTAATCTTACATGCAAATACAACATTTCTGTCTGAACGGATTCCAGTGAGGGGGTTATATAAAGCAAACCACCGCCACCAGATGACCTTTGCCTTTTAAAAAGAACACGGAGATCACATTACCAGAAATTATAAATTACCATACATGAGAAAAAGCCAATAGCCTGTCAGAAACTGTACATGCATCATGCAGATTTCTACTGGATAGTCTCAAAGCACGATGCCAGATACAGATCGCATGTCACTGCAAATCATTCAGAAGATTAGTGGGACATCAATAATGCATGCAAGCGAATGCTTTTCCTTGTTGATGTAAATGATTTACGCTTTTTTGAGGCGTTTCATTAACAATATGTTATGTACTGGCCTTCATGCACAACATTACCAAAGAGGAGCAGTACATTAGCCTAACAACCACCTGTCATGGTGTAGCTAGAGGCACTGTGCAGCTAAACCCATGTGTATCAACAGCAGGGTTCTGCGCACATGGCTGAGTGACTTAAAACCTCGGGGCTAAATTCAATCTCAGTCGCTATAACCTCATCCCTGCTTGATCTGGAGCCACAGCGGGTGAAATCATTGAGAAACTGATACTGTTGCACATTATAGTCCACATTTCCGAATACAGTTGGCCGCTTTTGCTCGTTTTTCAGTATTCTCTATAACTCAGATGCAAACAAAGATCTGCTTTCTGCTTTATAGCTGACGGGCTGCAATGTTACGCCTGTAACATCATGCATAACCAGAGGTATGTGGACGTAGGCTGTTCCAGCCCCGAAGTCATCACCTGCTCCCACTCCCACAAGGGCTTCAAGCATCGCTTCTGCATCAGAACCGAAAGTGGTAAGAATGCCCTCGACTACAACCACCCATCAGCAACCGCTAACATATCAACAATCAGAAATGGCTGCTTGGCTTCCTGTGGCTGAGATAGTTATTACATGAGCTTTAATCACTGTGGAGAATAATGCATAATGATAGTTTCTGGTTCATCAAATTTATTTCGGAGGATTTCTTAAATCCTTCGAGCTACAGAACTCCAGGGGCAACACCTTAATCCTCTTCATGAGACTCCCTGCGTGTAATTGTCATCACACTTTGGCAGCGTAAAGAGCATTAGAGGAAGATGATCACTCCTGAGAAAAGACCGACTGAAGTTAGAGATCACAGTGTTCCCTGCCCCCCGCCTAATTAACCTACTTTAACCCGTACTTCCAAGACCTTCATCTCCTAATCAGCCATAAAAACCAACACCTACTGCATAAACTTGTCTGAAGGTAATGAATCACCAATTCCTAAAATCCTTCTTGGTTTTTGACTTTATGTAACACATTCATAGCAAATTTACACTCCAAAGGTGGCACACTTCTGAAGTGGCATTTAGGTGTCTTTAGACAGACTGTTTAATGCTGCTCAGAGGTGGCATTTACACAGCAATTAAACTGTATACTTTTAGGGGTGTAATGGTTCTTGGTAAAAATTTGAACCATTCCATTCTCCCCCACGGTTTGGCACACACTTGCACCGCAGTTCAACTTAAATCTGACAACATCTGTACACTCTCAGGAAAAATGGTTCTAAACAGTACCAGAAAAGAGTTATTCGGCTTGTAACAATAGCAGAACCCTTTTTAGTGCTAAATAGAACCTTTTTTATAGGGTTCCATATAGAACCATGCTTTGAAAACGCTATATAGGACCTTATTGGTCATCGGTCTGAAAAGCAAGGTGTGCTGTGATTGGCCAGCTATCCAGTGCGTTATGATTGGCCGAATACCTCAAGCGTGTGACGGAAATGTTACGCCCCTACCATACTGTGATGATGCCCTGTCAGGCCGGAGCGATGATTCAAAAACATGAAAACCCATTCTTCCCACATTGTGACGTAGATATGTGGGGGCGTGTTAGAACGAGCCATTTTGGGTAGGCGTGGCTGACTCTTAACTTTTATAAAGAATACCTCTTTCGATTTGAGACTTTAGTCTTTGCAGCTTTACAGATCTTCTTTATGCACCAAGAGCTTGTAACACTCCAAAGAGAAAGGAAAAATTGAAAACGCATCATATGACCCCTTTAATATTGTTTTTTACCCCTCTATCTGCCTGCTCTTATAATATCTTGAAGTATCTGTTAGGGTTTTACATAAAATCAACAACAACAACAAGGTGTCAATTAGGTACTTAATGGACATTGAACATAAATAAATGCTTAAAGAAATAAAACAAAATAGAACATAAAATATTGTGTATTGAAGACCAAGCTCCAGTGAAATATCTTCACAATCCTCCATGATACCTCTAAGTTAATCATTATCTGTATTTTGGTGTGACTGAATGGCAGTTTCTCTCTACAGATGACGAGGTTGTAGGATGTGACAGTATCTGAAATGCACAATTGAGTTTAGATATACAATTTGTCTCCTTTCATTTGTTTATGTGAAAACAATTGTTTATGAAGGCCAAAAGTAGTATGTGAGCACTTCACAATGTTAAAAGGAAAAAGTCATATAAAGTCATAGGATAGCTGGGTATGTTTATGCATAAACCCTAGTAATAAAAAATATCTAACAAAATGGACCAAAAATTCAATATCTTTGTTACTTAGTGAAGAAGAGGAGAGTATCCTTAACTGAGTAGAGCTGGTCACACTTATATGTTCTCTTAAACTAAAAAGAGAAAAGACATAGGAAACCTCTGCAGATGAGGTTGTAGGATGTGATACATCTGAAATACACAATTGAGTTTAGAGTTACAGTGTGTCCATGTGTTTATGTAAAAACAATTATGTTTATGAAGGCCGAAAGCAAAAATGGACAGTATGCGAGCCCTTTACAATCTTAACAGAAAAAAGTGATATAAAGTCATGGGATAGTTTTAATATTTATTGTGACTGGGTATGTTTATACATAAAACCAAGTAATAATTTTAAAAACCTAACAATATGAATTATAAATTCATTCTTTTTTCATCAAAAAAAGATAAGAACATGTTTGTTTGAAAGCCAGTTACATTTTTAAAGTTAAATTTGTATTTAAATTTTAAGAATGAAATCATTTACCTGTCGAGAGTGTGTTGGCAGTCTGTGTAGTTGGATCACTGAACTCCAGAAAATCAATAAAACCATTAATGCATGTAAAGAACCTTTAAAGAACCATCTTTTTTTAGAGTGTATAGTTTGTTAAAAAATAACAACACGTAAAACAGACAGAGTTCGGCTAAAGTTTGTTTCTGTCGATGGATATGCATTCTGGCTTCCCAATGCATTACAACAACAGCGATGAACAAAAAAAACATGGACAAACCAGTCACTCTTTGTAGACTTTGTTCAATGCGAGTGATGTATGCTCAAATATTACCAGTCATTTCACAGTATAGGCTAGTCTTTTTCCCTTTTTTCCTTAAAATAGAACAGTTCGGTACCGGACTGTACCGAAACCGTGACTCTAAAACCGTGATGCAAACCAAAACGTGAATAATTTGAACTGTTACACCCCTAATTCTTTGATACCAGGGGCTGAGGTGGGTCTGAGCAGGCATAATTTGCTCTGGCTTTTTGAGCATGCACAGAGCAGCCTTCATTCAGCTGTGCAAAGACAGATGGTTCTTTAAATTCCCAAACCCTTGGAATTTCAAAATCGTTCAAAAGCATGGTTCGAAAACATAATGTGATGAAGCCTCATTTGCTGAAATCAAGCTCTGAACCACCGATTCGAAACAAATGATTCATAAATGTTTTGAAGCTTCATGAAGCAGTGTTGTAAACGCTCCCATCACTAACACTGAGACTGTCATTATGCTTGAGGCTTCCAGCACAACTTTTCCCAATATCACTGCATGAGCGAAATATTTTGTAACCTGAAATCCTGACTACATTTATAACCCAAATGGTGTTGACAAAACACAGCCAGACTCTCAAACAGACAGTCCTCCTGATAGGTGACAGACAGACAGTCAAATTGATAAGGCTGATAAGAGCATTTAGACAGAGATCATCAGGGATTTCTCTATCTCTCTCTGTTGGATCATCAGCCAGCCGTAATCCTCCAGAGTTATCCACTTTCACAAGTCGAGCCAGCTCTGCCTGCCTCCAGGGCTCAGCATGCATCACAGACCTGTCACATGACTCAACCCTGAGCAAGTGTTTGTGCCGCTTGTTGTACTGTAGTGTATGGCTAGATCTTCTCCTTCTAGTTGAAGGTGTATTGTGGGTTCAAAATAAGTTTTTGTGACATGTTATTGATTGCAACTGACGATAATTCTGATTCACAAACAAAATTGTGTGTTTACAGTAGTGCACTCTCAATAGAAGTCTATGGATGGAGCACTGTAGTGTGCTTGTATTTTTGTTGTAGCACTTTCACTGATTCCTCTACACAAAAATGTTATTCAGGCTATGAAGTCTTAATTATCTTTTTACCAGTGGGACTATGGCTGCACTGTAGGTGGACGAACTTATGGTTATGTGTTACTGACATAATTGCTGTGGGTAGATTTGTTTCTATGTAAACAGTCCCTTAGTGGAATTAGTAACTGTATCATATGTGAAACTTGGCAGGAGTTACTAGAAGATTAAAAGCTTAAGTAAAAAGAAAAAATTGATTCCTGTAAACCACTGATTCTAGTCAACTGTCATAGGTTTATGTATTCATGCTTGATGTAAATGTCATCCTGTTGTGTGAAGTGTGATGTGAAGAAGTGACGTGGAAGCATGGAGGAAGTCATTTCTTGTGTGAGATTATTCAAAATGTGCTGATGTTCCTCTCAAAATGTGAACAGGATAGGCCTATACTATAAGAAAGCCGGTTACATTTTTGTGGGTCTGAGTGAGTGCATGTAGGAGTGTGAGGAATGAGAGTGTAGAACGAGGTGCCAAAGAATGTGTTAAAGATGGAAAATATAGAAATGCAAATAAGAATCAAAGCAGGGGTGAAATGTATAAACTGGTGGGGAAAAAATCTATGAAATGTGGCAAGAAAGGTGGGAAAGAAATCGCCTGTGTGCGCACCTTGGGTTTTAGACACTTGTTTATTTATGTATTCGTTTGTTTTAAACCAATGATTATCATATTTTACCACACCAGAAGTAGGGCTGCACGATTATGACAAAAATCATAATTGTTGATTATTCCCTTGAAATTGTAATTTCGATTATTAATTACAATTATCACAATTTACATTTAATGATGTTTATACCATTGTTTGATGCAACTGCATGCCATATTTTTATATGAAAATAAACAAGCTGAAAACACTCTAACTGAAAAAATGTTTGTGCTTTTCTATAGTATTAAGCCTCAAATGTCAACTATATACATCGGATTGGTTTCTTCTTTAAATGATAAAAAAGTAAAAATATGAATGGTATTATAATGTTATACTAAAACTACATTAAAATAATGGGGGAAAACCCTTAATTGTGCAGCCCTAACCAGAAGGACGCACTCATTTTGATTGAGTAAAATACTGTCTGTGATTATCATTATTTGTATGTTTTGTTCTATAACATAAATTACACACAGTCATGTGTCAAACATTAAAGTTACTGTGTTTTTTTATTATATAAGTTACTAATAAATTGCTATAAAAGATTGGTTGACAAAAAGTTTATCAAGCATGTGCACTCACTTTTGGTAGATGAAGGTCTTATAGCCCCAGTAAATCACGATTTTTTTTGTTTCTTTTTTTAAACAGTTGTTTCATAATTCATGTTTGACTGTGGGTAATTTATAGTTAACCACAGACATTAAATTCTACTCATAAATCCAAAACCGTCATTCTAAAAACCCATGAACCCATGGCTCAGAACTGCTGGTTCTCCTCCAGGTTTTAGAACTACTAACTAAATAGTTCTGTTGTGACATGCATTAGAATCATGACTTTAAATGAAATCCCTCTGAAGTTGATTCTATGTAACCCAGCATGTGGTTTCTCTAAAACACTGTTTTGTTTGTGTTGCTGCAGTTGCATTGGGAGTCATGCTGACTAGTGGCTGCGCAACAGCACGACACTGCCACACGGAGGAGCTACCTGGAGTCAACATCCACTGCTGCGGCTCTGATCTGTGCAACAGCGCCACCCGCTGGCGGATGACCACACTGCTGCCGATTTGCTCATTGACGTTTTCTCTATTGCTTCAAAGGTTGATACTGTGGACGAAATAACTTTGAAATTTGAACGTCACGATGCATGACATACAGGATGGAACTTGAAAATATAACTACAGCCTAAAAGATGTGAACACAGACCCTGGAGTATTAGGCCTAGGCCTATGTGTGGATAAGCCAATCCTTCACATAGCCTAGTATTGTTCTCTTTGGATAATTAGCTAAATCAT